AATCTACACACTCATACAGTAAAAAAATGAATGGCTTAACCTATCTTGAGTGGGGTGATGGTTACACGGGCGTACACCTTTGCCAAAACTCACTGACCTGTCCCTTTGAAATGAGTGCATTTTATTGTAAAACCATATACCTCAATACCTCTAACTTTAAAACAAGTTTCCTGCAGATTGGTATCAAAAGCTTTCATAACAATTATACCCTTAGACCTAGAAATTCTACTTCTAGGCCTGTCCTCAGAAAATAGTAAAGCCAATGACAGATTCAGCTCTATCTCTTACTGATATCTGACAAATTACTCCATCTTGCCAAACCTCAGGTTCCTCACTTGTAAAACGGGGATAATAGTTCCTACCCTATAGTGTCATTTTGAGGAATAAACGAGATAGTATAAAGTAAAACATTGTAAAGTCTGACAGTATTTAATGGGGGGTTAACTATTAACATTGTTTCTAGGTGGTGAAAAAAATTGCTTTAATAGTCTTAAAACATCTCTAAATTTTTTTTTCTTATAATGAGCCTATATTCCTTGTTTAATTTTTAAACCATTTATTTTGAAATACGAGAGTCAAGGAATTGGAAGAATAGTACAGAGAGGTCCTTGTTTAGGTTTCTAAAGTTTGTTTTTAACTGACTACATATTATATACATGCAAATAATCAAAGTTCTATTATGTTCTAGGAAAAAAAACCCCACTAACACAACCACTGATGTGTCTTATACATTTAAAAGAGTTGAAATAATTCCTATATAACTCCGCTTTCTCAGATACAGATGGATTCTAAATTTTTCTGTAAGGTCCATGGTCTTCCGTGTTCTGTAATTATTAACTCTAGGAACAAACTGCAGTGTCAATGACTCTGATTTTCATTTGGGAAAAAAAAGAAACAAACCAAAAAGGCATTATAAACTATGACCGTAATACGATTATAATGATAGAAATTTTATAGCGCTTTCCAGTTTTAGACCAACTTCACATACCCTCTTTCATACTACCTGAGATTTACAAGGCAGACATGTGTTTGAACATATGACTATTATAGCCTGAAAAATATGCTGAAAACGGAAAAGACTGGATTCTCCAAGTAGAGATGCTTAACATCCCAGAACATCCTTATCAGGGTGGTGATGTCAAAGTCCAGATCTGCAACACTTCTGACTGAATTACTGTTCATTTCCTCATTCAACAAATATTCATTAAGGACCTAATCATAGTGTCAGTGTACCTAGATCAGGAAACCTATTAACTCTTGAGTGGGAAAATCATATGAAGAATGTGTGGACTCAAGGCTTAAGATGGAATTCAATCTGTAAACTCCCTCTTCAGGCCTTTCTCCCTCCACCACTGCCCTCCATTGCACACGCATTTCAGAGTGTGCACTCCTCTCGCTCCGTGTGCTCCCCTCTTTCTCTTTATATTTTCCCCCTGACCCTATACAACTGGCCAACACCCTCTGTGGCTTCTCAGCTGCTTTAGGAGAATTGCTAACAATAACAAGCTCCTCCCTGGAAACTTAACAGGTCCTTTAAATCTTTTCCCCAGGGCCAGCTTGCTGGGTTTAAAAATCCTCTTTTTTTTTTTTTTTGATAAATGACCACCTGAATAAGAGTGGATTTTGATGGCAGTCTTCATGGGACAACATATGGATCTGGTGTAGTGAGAGGAAATGTGCTTTGGACTTGCACAGCGCTGGACTCCCATCCTAGCTCCTTCCGGGGAGGTGTGTGTGGGGGGGCACTACAACCTTTCTGAGCTAGTTGCCTCATCTACACAAAGGATGATAAACCCTGTCTTGCAGAATTGCCACTGAGATATTCATGCGAGTACCCTATATGAGTTCCTAGCTCAATCTGTGTTAGTCTCCTTTTCTTTCCCAGAGTTATGAAACACATAAGTGCAAAAGTAAATGTGAAAGGGCTTTGCAACTTATAAAGCTCTAGTGTTGGGTTGTGTGAACAGTAATATATTGATAACACTAATAATAAAAGCACCGGTAGGTAAGGAGAACAGCTAGATACTTTGGCAAAGGTTTGTCATTTTTACAATCTGTGAATGATATCAACAGATGTCATGGCCATGTGTCTAAAATATCAAGAATCATGATCTGATGTGTCAAAATGCATTTGTTGGGATAGAACATAATAAATAGGAATTGCCTACCCCCCCCCCCAAAATCCCTTGAGATGTATGGTCTCTGTACACACAAATGACCATCCTTGCTCCAATGATCCTAGAAATCTACAGGAATCCTAATATCTTTCAATTGTTTCCAGTAGTCAATAATAAAGGTAGTAGCTGAGTTTGGCTCCAAGGTCTTCTATGTTTGAACACTGCTCTATGTTTGAGTATGTTTCTGTTTGAGGACAAAGACCTGCAAATGTCAGTAGAATTGAGAGGGTTAACAAATTGGCATAGAGTTCTGGAAAAAGTTGACCAGCGTAATTTATTTCTGTTTCAAACCTGAAAATCACCCTCCCTAATATTGTGCTGGTAGGTAAGGGAAAGAACATGGAGAAAGACTGCAGTCCCGAGAAGAGAAACAAGCCTGCAGGGAATAATGGAATGTCTAAATTGCCAGTTAATTTCTGTTCATGAGAGTCTCTGCGGCGGATGCTTGGGAGTTCAATATGAAGAACGAACAAGGCTGCTTTTGTGTAAGATGCCTTAGCCGATGGGCCCTTGGGAGTGCCTCCAAGTGGCCGTACAGAGAGAGCCTTTTTTCTCACACCTTTTCACAAGCGCTTTGCTCTTTACACCCTGGTATTAGGCTTCTGTTTGCGCCACTGTCAGTAATAGCACTTACATAGCCCTTTCAGAATTTAAAAATCAGCTTGACATCACAATGTCGTATGTTTCCTTGACAGTCCTCCCCTTGGTCTTTACAATAACTTTTAAAAAGTACTATTATACAGATAAAGAAACAGTCTTGGGAGTGAAGTAATCGCCAAAGTATAATTCCTAGCACTCCAACCTTCCGCTTCCTTTAGCCGGAAGGATCAAGAGTAGAATCCTTGGCTAATTACAGGCAGTGATGTACCCGAAAATTCTTGCAAATTACTATTTAAATATTGATCTGGAAGACAGAGAGAAAACGCGCGCGCACACGTGTGTGTGTGTGTGCACGCGCGCCCGCAAGTGTGTGTTTGTGTGTAGGGCTCTGTTGTGTTGCCCGTCCTTCCGGTTAAGGGGCCTCCAGGGGGCCCTCCCGCAGCCCCGCCCCTCCCCCGCGGCCCCGCCCCTGCCCCTGCCCTCCCGCAGCCCTGCTCCCACCACAGGTCC